ACCGTTGCCTTGCTTGTGATAAGGTTTGGTTCTTGACTTTTGGATATATACAATTTGCAGAGTTCCTTTATCACCAGGCCTTCAAAGTTCCTGCCTTGGTCCGAGTGTAGCCGCTGTGGCGCACGATAGTAGTTAAACCACTTATCTTGTAGGACCTTTGCTACTATTATTGCTGATTGACTTCGACAGGGAACTGCTTGAGCGACTTTTGTAAATGCGTCTGTCATAACTAAAACATCCTCATAGCCACCCTTGCCCTTGTCAAGTTTAGGGAAATCAATGGCTAGTAACTCAAATGGACGAAATGCGACTAGATGGCGTTTAGGTGTACGAATCATAGGTTGAGTTGACTTAGATGTTGTGCAAGTGAAGCATTTCTTATGTGTTGTCTTACATCATTTTGAAGTCCAGGCCAGAAGCATCTGGTCTTTAGAATACCAATAGTTCTATTAGCTCCCTGGTGACCCCACTCGTCATGTGCCATCTCTAGCATCTTGTGGCGAAGACTATGAGGAATGAGTAGTTGTCGGCAGTCACCAGTGGTAGATTGGACTCTCTGTATAGCACTCCTCTCCATTCTTTGAAGTAAGTAATTTGTTTCAGCTAACCTCTTAACTCAGGAGAGTCGTTAGTGATTGGTTGCCCTGACTTCCAGTTGTTTTGCCAACACTCCCAAACCTTTCCCAGGGTTTCATCGTTCTGTTGAAGACTGGTTAATTGCTGATGAGTGTAGGATGGAAATAAACTGTGTGCCTCATCTTGAGGATGACTATCTTTGATGATGCAGTCTGTGTTTAGGATGTTTGTCGGTACTGAGCTGCAAGCTGAATTCTTCTCTTACTATTACCTGTACATCGCATGCTTCGATATCCGGACACCTACTTAGTGCATCATTTCTGCACATTAGTTTGCTTTTCCTGGTTTGTACTTGATGTTGAGATTGAAAGGTGCAAGCTGGGCAACCCAACGGTGCTCTGTTGCGCCTAACCTTGCTGTCTTAAGATGAACTAATGGGTTGTGATCAGTAAACACGGTGCACTTTGATCCTCTGATATAGGACCCAAACTTTTCAATCACCGCCCACTTAAGTGCTAGGAGTTCAGCCTTGAAACTTGAAAGATCTGCATAATTCTTCTCGGCACCTCGAAGACTGTGGCTGGCATAGGACACCGGGTGAAGTTTCCCATCATCATCTGCTTACATTAAGCCCTTAGTGGTGGTAACCTGGGGTGATAGGTAGTGCTTATCCGTGGGTTTACGGAAGAGATCAGTTTTAAGTGCACCATTTTCCATGGTCACGGTGATGTCCAAAAAATCTACACTGCTTGTGGATTTGTTAGCAGTGAATTTGATTGTGGGATGAGCCGAATTAATGTTCAGTAGGAATGTATCCAAACTATCTTCACCATGGGTCCAGATCATGAAGATATCATCAATGTAACGCAACCAAACATCTGGTTTCTTGGGCTGTAGGGACAGGAAATTGGCCTCAAATTGTCCCATAAATAAGTTAGCAAAAGATGGAGCCATTTTGGTGCTCATCGCTGTGCCATGAATTTGAAGGTAATGACCGTCGCCGAAAACAAAGTTATTATTGGTAAGAATCAGCATGATAATTTCACAGAGGTGTGATTTAGATGGGGTTTTGCCCCGAATTTGCTTGTAATTTGAAATGCACGCATTAACACCTTCTTCATAATTGATATTAGTATATAATGACGAAACATCAAGTGTAGCCAGAACAGTATTATTAGGTAAATTTGAAATTTGGTTAATTTTGTGGATAAAGTCCGTGGAGTCCTGAATGTACGAGGGGAGAGCAACAACATATGGTCTCAATAAATCATCCACATATTCAGAGATTTTTTCTGTAGCAGTACCGTTGCCCGAAATATTGGGTCTGCCAGGATGGCCTGCTTTGTGGATTTTGGGTAGGACATAGAAACGTCCTGGTGCCAGATCGACCTGGATGAGATGGGGTCCAATTTTGGGATCGATGGAACCTTTTTTAACCATCTTTAATACAGATTTTTCCACTTCCTTAGAAATTTCTGGAGTGGGGTCCTCTGTGAGCTTCCGATAGTGGAGAGGATTGTTTAGTTGTCTTAAGGACTCCTCTTCATAGAATTTAATGTCCATTACGACAGTGGCAGAGCCTTTATCAGCTGGTTTGATGATAATATCATCACGCTGACGCAAATTGGCGATGGCCTGCGACCTCCAGTTCTATATATATATATATATATATATATATATACATA